GCGCACAGTGACTCCCGGTAATTACAAATTCACCTCTCCCCTCCTAATTAAGATTAAGGGATGAAAAAGTGGCAGTTGAACGGAGAATTAAATTCCCCATCAACTAACCGTCTTCCGTCCCTTAATCTCTGTAAAAAATGGAAGAAACTGTCATGGAAATCACAGCGCAGTAAGAAAAATAATTGTTTTGCGGCGCACAGTGACTCCCGGTAATTAAAAATTCTTCTCTCCCCTCCTAATTGAGATTAAGGAATGAAAGAGGGTTAATTGATGGGAAATTTAATTCTCCGTCGAACTGTCGTTTTTTCATCCCTTAATCACAATTAGGAGGGGAGAGGTGAATTTNATTCGAAACTATCCCTGTCACAGCGGGACTGCTACTGCCGAGTTACCCGCACAGCAGCGTTGCCAATCTGGACGTAAGGGCTTGATGTCAGTGGTCCTAAAATGAAATCACTAGTTGCCACCAAATACTTGAACGTGGAATTCCCTAGAGCCATGGAAATATGAATATAAAATTGGCAGAATGAAAAACTTCTTGTTACTGATAATAATGGAACACGTAGATGCCAGAGTGAATGTTAATAGAAATGGACTGAAATTATAAAGATAAAAATAACAGAAAACATATTGTTAAGGATAATAAGAAGTCGGACATGCGAATAATTGGAATCGATTTAAATTGGTATACTTTTATTCCTTGTTCGAAAAATTCCCGCCATAGACAAATGCAAGTGATGGAAATATTGCAGTAGATGCAATTTTGGATTAATAAATGCCAAGGACGCTCGTATCTCGGAAAAGGTACAAATTAGAACACGTCGATGCCAGATTGAATGTTCATGAGAATGCCCTAAAATTATTAAGATGAAAATACCAGAATATTTACTTTTAAGGATAATGGAAATTCCGACATTCTAATAACTGGAATTGATTTAAATTAGTATACTTGTATTCCATATTCAAAAAATTCCCGCCATAGACAAATACAAGTGATGGAAATATTGCGGTAGATGCAATTTAGGATTAATAAATGGCAAGGACGCTCGTATCTCGGAAAAGGTACAAATTAGAACACGTCGATGCCAGATTGAATGTTCATGAGAATGCCCTAAAATTATTAAGATGAAAATACCAGAATATTTACTTTTAAGGGTAATGAAAATTCCGACATTCTAATAACTGGAATCGATTTAAATTGGTATACTTGTATTCCTTGTTCGAAAAATTCCCGCCATAGACAAATGCAAGTGATGGAAATATTGCGGTAGATGCAATTTTGGAGTAATAAATGCCAAGGACGCTCGTATCTCGGAAAAGGTACAAATAAGAAGTTCATAATGACCGTTGAGGAATTAATTTGGTATATACATGATTAGAATGAGTAGTTTTCGGAGTGTGTAAAGTTTGGAGTAGCATTTTGTTATATCGTCGCTTTCCCAGATACGACAAGGACCAGTTCATCAAATCCCCAGTTTGAACGCTTGGCCGATAAGTTATCTGCTTGGGCGATTTCTTTTATCGACAAGTTTCATGACCACCTTATTATGCATCTCTTTCACCGGTTGTACTATAGATGATCTGCCGTCTTGTGGCGCCAATAGTGTGGTACGTTTATGAATTATTAATTAAAAAATAATCCAATGAAAGAAATCAGATGGTTGAATAATTCGAATTTTGCAAATTGTTCGAAGCATATGTGTTTTAACATCAACCGTGATATAACTTGTGAAATTTGTTTTTTTTTTCTTTTTTTTTTGTGGAAAATTTATAATTTTCAGCACCCACAGATGGAAAACAAATTCCAGTGCATATTTTAAAAGGCAGAAAGGAATGAAAAATTTTAATGCTTAACAAAACAAGCAGGATTCAGATGCTATTGTGTTTGTTATTTTCCATATTGGCGTTTTTTTCTTTCTTTTTCCTCTACCAATTCCATTGGCAATAAGCTTCCGAATGGAATATATGGCTGTCAAGTATTACATAAAAGGACATGTTCTTTATGTGCGACATACAAAGATCAAAACTTTTTTACATGGGCGTGAACTCATAAAAATAATTTATTATTTGGATAAAGTTTTTATTATTTACAGGGTTATTTCTTCATGTATCCTGGAAAATTGCTCTATTATATTGCGACATTCAGAACACATGATGAGGGCATTGAGATTTCTTGCGGTTGCATTATCTCTTGCTAGGCAACTCTCACATGAATACCAAGCTAAGCACTCAGGGCATAAATGGTTCGCCAGACGCTGAACATTGCATGAAAGGCATCCAAAACGGTGTACTTGATGCCCTATAATATAAAAATAAAATTAGAATGATTAAATCAGCTAGAATGGAACATACAATAAGAAAAATATCAAATGATACTTACTTGTTACTGTTAATGAACCGTCCACTAATGGGCCTTGCTTATCAACAGTGTAACGATGCAGAGTGGGAAATAATCGCACTATAAAAGAAAGAAAAATGAGGAATTTTAATAGAAGTTGGTAACAAAATTATTGGGATTAATAAATACGAAAGAGGATCAATTTGCTCACCTATATCTTCGTACGCTTCTGTGTTGATGAAATTGTTGACTTCATGAACAGTGCGCATGATTCCATCAGCTCCAAAGGCTCGAATCAAGTGACTTGATGCAATCAACAACTTCTTGTCATTCAGTTCATTCGCCTCATAAAGTTCCCAAATTCTAGCAAGAATATCCTGTCGGACTAAATATTTATGCTCTGTCGTTCGAGTGATCCGATGACCTCTGTTGGATGCTGCAATTTTTAATTTGACTTCGACTAAAAGAGATCGCAGTTGCGCTATAAATATAAAAAATCCATTAAAAGATCATTTATCGGAAATTACTCTTTAAAATACGATGAAAATAATAACTTACCAGTGAATACCCAAATATCTGGTTTCAATCCAAGCTTCTCCCATAGTGTTCGATGATAGGCCTCTATATCATTATTGGTCCTTTTGGATAATCCATACACTGAGTAATTTTCTGGGCGACACTGTTGAATCCAATACTGCTCGTAGTATTGTAGGAATGAGGCAAAATATGTGCGTAAATCCAGGTCTGTGTCAGCAATGAGATTTTGATATGCTCCTTCGATTCGGTCAAATGGAAGAAGAGCTAAAGCCATAATTTTTCGAAGAAAAAGTTTAGCCCTTGGGCAGATCTTCATATTTCTGTGGATTTTCTTTTTCCCTTTTAAAGATGCTAATTTTTTCGTCAGTGCCTGTAATTAATTGAATACAATATAAAGATCAATTTTAAAGCTGTATTAAAAACTAAAAAAAAACAGAAAAGTATTAACCAACCTGAATATGATGGAAGAAACAGTGAACAATGCGAGCATTTGGATAAAATTCACGGATTACATTGGTGAGAGCTTGTTCAAAATCGACGAAGAATGTATGAGGCTGCAGATTCGGGGCGAGGTGATTTTTAAAATACTGGAAAAATGCCTGATATGCCTGGGTATTTTTTTTTGTCATCAAAGCCCATATAATCGGAACTTTCTGCAAAGAGTTGGCGAAAAAAAAATGTTTACAGACATAAAATACAAGGAAAAAAGTAAAAGAAATAATTTACCTCGTCATTTATTGTTCCTATGACTGTTAATAACTGTGTGACTTTTGGACTGCTAGGACACACAGCGAAGGTCGCATCAATATTGAGCTTCTGACGAGGTTGTAGGAGGCTAAGTAACGTTCTATCTGCGTAAATAGTGACAAAATTGCTAGCTCCTGCTGCAATTGTCGTCACACTCAGTTCTCCCCCTTTATAAACTAAGTATTTTCTCTTCCATTCATCTTCAGATAGAAGTGACGTGTAATCAGGAAGATTTCTTGGTTTACGAGGACGCGTCTTTTGGCGCCAACGATTCAACGTGCGCTCCATCGAAGCATAAGGAAAGTTAGCACTGGCATTTTGATGTCTACATAGATATAATCATAATTTTAGATATCGTGCTCAGTCTAATTTACTTTAGAATTTTTTGATTCAAAGAAATAAAGTTACCTCTCTGCGACTCGATAATAAGTGGCATTAGGATATTCATCGACAGTATTAATTCGTTCATGTAATTCCTCTCTAAATGTATAGTGTTCAACTGCTTCAGGATTTAGGCGACATTGATGCTCAAAGGTAATTTGGAAAGTACCATCTCTTCTTAAATTCGCTCTGCCAGGGCAAAAAGCATCTTTGCAGCGCAGGTATCTAGAAAAGAGAATTAGGGTTTTCTAAGGGTTATTTCATGCATATGATTAAATACTTATTGTATTTGGATTTTACACTTTCGTCATGCAGGTAAATAATTATTGTCACGCGATATGGAATTAGTGAAATGGAATAAGTGAAAAATCCAAGTTGTAAACATGAAAAACTATAATTTCACACAGCGTACAGAGCAAAATGAATCGGGCCTGAAATTTTTCATTGATTTTTGGGTACACCATGATATATACTTTCAAATTTCTCATCAATTTTGCAAAGCACAGAATCAATATTTACATACGATAATTACCTCGTACCAGCAGAACTCGTAGAACTTAACCAATAAAATCGCCCGTCTCTTTCAGTATGATTTACAGAATTTTCTTGTCTATCATTGTGATGAAACATTTTGCTTCGATCTCGAAAACTTAATAATTTTAATCACACACAGAATTATGTATATTTGTTAAATATGTATTTATAAACTTATATAAACTTGTAGAAATTTACAAGTTTTGCCGGCTTGTCCAAAATCACCGACTTAACTTGTTATTCAACTTGGAATTTGCAAAACCGTAAATGTCGACAACTTTCTAAATCTTAAGTCAATATTAATAATTTTACAGAGATGTTTTTGCTTCCAAACTCAGAATCGAAGTGATTTGTGATTCTAATTTTGTATGGAGGGCCGAAGCCAGCGATGGTAATAATGGGCGGGGCAGAGGGGGGGGGGACTTTGCTGAACCTTTGATGAGGGACTCACGTCACTTTCGCATCCATTTCAAGGTCCGGAACAGGGATGGGCAAAGTGTGCCCACCGGGTTAAATCAGCTCCCAACCGCAATTAGTGCACTACAATAGAGTGAACAGCCCCTCTTGTAGCACGCAGGGGCTCCTAAACCTCGGGCCCCTAACGGTTTGAGTATTAGAGGAAGGAGTGAGGGAAATGTTACTCATACCACACTTTTCTATTTTCCTTCACATTGCATCTAATATAATTATTTATTCTTCAACTAATGATTAGACTATTGTGAATTAGTTATTGGTAAACTTTCCAGATTCTTCATGCTAAAGCGGTAGAATTGAATATTCCCATGGAAGCTGATGAGAATCATAGTACGCTCAGGCGATTAATGGCTGTAGCACTTATGTCTGCTGGGAAAATGATTGATGGATTTAATGTAGCACGTAAATTACCAGAGCAACAAAGAAATGCTTTTAGGCCATTACTCGAGTATCTCCAAAATTCTTGGTTGAATACGGTCGGAATAAACGCCTTGAGCTGTGCTGATGATCCAATTATGATGTCCAATATACAATTAAATACAAAACGTGTTTTTAACAAGCATGTTAGGGGAACACCATCATCGATATGGAAAGTTATGGGTAATTTTTGCATTGTTTTTTTGTCTGCTTTCAGCAAACCCTTGAACCATTTTAATTTATAACGAAACTATAATCCTTAATACGCTATATTGAAAAGGAATAACTAATAAATACCACTAAATACTCATGTTTAGAATACTTGCACGTATTTAAAAAAACATATTTAAAAAATCGCGATTTACTCGGTTGTATAATGTTATCATTTTTTTTGCATTTCCCAGGCCATATTATTAATTCTGTGGAAGTTATGTGCAAAGATTTAACCCGTTTACAATTGCGCAAAAAAACATCTAAAGATCGCTTTACATTTTCTACTTGGGATTTGGAGAGACCATTGAAACGTATAAATCAAATACCAACGAGGGATAATCTGAGTACAATAGAGAGCTTGCGGCAGATGGGTTTCTTACTGCGAGAATTAGAATCAAATGTTGTAGCTTTCCCTGAGCCAATACCACCAAACTTGGAATTGGTAAACAACAATGAAATGCACAGAGGTAATATTATCAAATGAACAATCAGAGTGATCAATAATTTCAACGTGTTGTAGCCTATACAAAATTTGAATGTTTTTTTTTTGTTTTCATGTTCAATTGTTCAGTTAATTTGATGGCCAACAACGATGAACATGCTGATGTTGTTTTCTACAATGTGGGAGAAATTAATCCAGAAGGTACGTCAGGAATTTTTGATATTCCATACATATACATGAAATCTAGAAAATTATATTAATTATATGTTCGTAAAAATTATCTGAAACTCAGCATTTGGGGTACAACAGAGAAGAAGAGTACGCAGACGAATTGCGAGAGAAAACGTAGAAAGACCAGCAGTCGTACCAGGTAAATTATTAATTAAAAATTTTGTCTATTCCCACATGTCAGTTACTTTAATGTGAGGGGGGGGAGGAATTATAGATGCTGATTTCAGTAGTGATGATGAATACCATAGGAGTGACGCTGGAAGTGATGGAAACAAACGAAAATGAAGTGAATGATGGAATGATTATGCTGGAACAGCTTCATTCATCCAACGATGAGGATATAAATCACAATCGTCAGGGTAATAGCATAAAGAAGAAAATTCCAATACTTCAAAATTGTTTTAATATGAACATCTTATTTATTCTTTCATTTCATATTAATGGTTATATCTAATTCAGTAGCTAATGTCGCAGATGACAATGATAACAACAATGAAATACGCAGGAATGCAGTGATTGCAGGACCTGTTGATCAATCACCACAACGACAAGAAGGAAATGATAACCATTGCAGTGTATGCCTCATGAACTCCAGACAAACAGTGTTCATACCATGCAGACATGCTACATTGTGCAATACATGTGCAAAGCATATAATGGCAAACACCAAGAAATGTCCCTTATGTAGGAGGGTCATTCTATCTGTTCTGTATAATGTTTATATATAAAAAAATCTTTCATAATCTTCATTAAAATGTCGATATTTCCTCATATTTTAAACAAATGGTTCAAATTAAATAGAGTCAATTGAGCTTGTCTATAAAAAATACTAAGGATTTTTTTTTTTTCAGAGAACAAAGAAATGTAAAATATAGATTCATTTTGATTTTCGTAAATGAAAATTCCCACCTGACGAAAACTTCATTAAATATTAACAACTTATAAGAATTAGACCAATCGAGTTCCTTTGATCTCATTCGATGAACAAAACAATGAGCGTAACAGAAGCCATTCGAGATATCTTCGATTAAAAACTTTAACCTTGTTGTTCATTTAAAAGTCACATATCCGGCCCGATAGAAATGCTTTTGATTTGTTTGTGAGTGGATGAAATTAAGTACGCGTTCTAGGCACGCAGCTTCTCATGTCCTCGCATAATGGCCCATCGGTTTCAGTCTGACGCTCACGTTTCTTCAAGATTTTTTAGATATTTCAAGATTGATTTCATTTCTCCTTTTTCCCATAGGACAATAGGATATGGGCGAACGTATTTTACTATCCTTTTCAAATGTAGAGGCCTCTGAGACTCAATGTTTTTCTTGACCAGTTGATTATTCACCTTTCATTATCCGGAGCCTCATCTTTTTAAATTTAGTTGTTTTGTTTATATCATGTTATAATTGTGAAAGAGCGGCCGATTTCCTACAAGGGATGTGCAAAATTTATGGACTTGGCCGTCTTCAAATAGTTACAAACAAATATGATAAAAATAGTTTGTTCATCATTTGAATTTTACATTAGGATCCGTTATAAAAAATATATATATAACTGTGTACAAAAATTTCGTTGTATAGTTATTTCATTAGTGATTAATTGCATACACAACGCTATTGTTTTTATGCCAAAAAATAAAAACACGAGACAAAAAAGGCCATTTATGGCCTTTATCAAGGATGGAGCGTTCGGATCATTGGAATTATTTTCAGATGTAAGTTTTTCATCTCAGTAAGAGATGGCAACTCACATTGAATTTTTTGGCTCACCTGTGACCCCTCATGAACAAGGTGCTGCTCTTGCCACGAACCTGTCAACCATCAATTTAAAAAAACCTTTCCTTGAAAACTATGGAACATATAAAAATTTTTTTTTTCAAGTTTAAAGAGTTATCAAAACTTTTTTCGAATGGAACTTGTTTTTTTTTCATAGATTTTCAAATCTTTTTTCACGTTGAGGAAAATTGCAATTACAGTTCCTCATCATGCCGATCAGCTCAATTTAATATCATCTCGTTTATCGAGAAAATTAATGAAAATCAAACCGAGCACTCCTCAAGACCATCCGGTGACGTGTGGAGTATACATAAATGCTCAACACGCTCATACCATGGCTATTGCCAAAAAAATTTCTGAAAATAATAAAGGTTTAGAAAAAAGTTCTAAAATCGAAATCGTTGATGATTTTTCATTGCATCTTTGGAGTTATAAGACTTCAGGTCTTTTTCCAGTAGTTTACAAAATTACTGTGGTTGTATCATAAATAGAGATCAAATTTCCCTTACTAATGCGAATAAAACGTAAAATATCTCAGAAACTACTAAGAATAATGGACAAATCAGAAATCTCAACTGAGATTGGGCCCATAACGATGGTTGTTGATTTTTCTTTTACTTCTAGGACATGAATCTATCCCCTTGCTCTCATGCCTTTCTCCTCCCCTCATTTGCTTGGAACTTTTGATGGGCCCAATTTTTCAATTTATTTAATTATAAATTTTCGAATTTTTTAAATTGTCAACTTTTTCTTTTGTTCTATCTGGAATTCTTCGAAGACGAAGACTTTTAAATTCTTTCATTTCTTCATGTTTACAACTTGGATTTTTCACTTATTCCATTTCACTAATTCCATATCGCGTGACAATAATTATTTACCTGCATGACGAAAATGTAAAATCCAAATAAAATAAGTATTTAATCATATGCATGAAATAACCCTTAGAAAACCCTAATTCTCTTTTCTAGATACCTGCGCTGCAAAGATGCTTTTTGCCCTGGCAGAGCGAATTTAAGAAGAGATGGTACTTTCCAAATTACCTTTGAGCATCAATGTCGCCTAAATCCTGAAGCAGTTGAACACTATACATTTAGAGAGGAATTACATGAACGAATTAATACTGTCGATGAATATCCTAATGCCACTTATTATCAAGTCGCAGAGAGGTAACTTTATTTCTTTGAATCAAAAAATTCTAAAGTAAATTAGACTGAGCACGATATCTAAAATTATGATTATATCTATGTAGACATCAAAATGCCAGTGCTAACTTTCCTTATGCTTCGATGGAGAGCACGTTGAATCGTTGGCGCCAAAAGACGCGTCCTCGTAAACCAAGAAATCTTCCTGATTACACGTCACTTCTATCTGAAGATGAATGGAAGAGAAAATACTTAGTTTATAAAGGGGGAGAACTGAGTGTGACGACAATTGCAGCAGGAGCTAGCAATTTTGTCACTATTTACGCAGATAGAACGTTACTTAGCCTCCTACAACCTCGTCAGAAGCTCAATATTGATGCGACCTTCGCTGTGTGTCCTAGCAGTCCAAAAGTCACACAGTTATTAACAGTCATAGGAACAATAAATGACGAGGTAAATTATTTCTTTTACTTTTTTCCTTGTATTTTATGTCTGTAAACATTTTTTTTTCGCCAACTCTTTGCAGAAAGTTCCGATTATATGGGCTTTGATGACAAAAAAAAATACCCAGGCATATCAGGCATTTTTCCAGTATTTTAAAAATCACCTCGCCCCGAATCTGCAGCCTCATACATTCTTCGTCGATTTTGAACAAGCTCTCACCAATGTAATCCGTGAATTTTATCCAAATGCTCGCATTGTTCACTGTTTCTTCCATCATATTCAGGTTGGTTAATACTTTTCTGTTTTTTTTTAGTTTTTAATACAGCTTTAAAATTGATCTTTATATTGTATTCAATTAATTACAGGCACTGACGAAAAAATTAGCATCTTTAAAAGGGAAAAAGAAAATCCACAGAAATATGAAGATCTGCCCAAGGGCTAAACTTTTTCTTCGAAAAATTATGGCTTTAGCTCTTCTTCCATTTGACCGAATCGAAGGAGCATATCAAAATCTCATTGCTGACACAGACCTGGATTTACGCACATATTTTGCCTCATTCCTACAATACTACGAGCAGTATTGGATTCAACAGTGTCGCCCAGAAAATTACTCAGTGTATGGATTATCCAAAAGGACCAATAATGATATAGAGGCCTATCATCGAACACTATGGGAGAAGCTTGGATTGAAACCAGATATTTGGGTATTCACTGGTAAGTTATTATTTTCATCGTATTTTAAAGAGTAATTTCCGATAAATGATCTTTTAATGGATTTTTTATATTTATAGCGCAACTGCGATCTCTTTTAGTCGAAGTCAAATTAAAAATTGCAGCATCCAACAGAGGTCATCGGATCACTCGAACGACAGAGCATAAATATTTAGTCCGACAGGATATTCTTGCTAGAATTTGGGAACTTTATGAGGCGAATGAACTGAATGACAAGAAGTTGTTGATTGCATCAAGTCACTTGATTCGAGCCTTTGGAGCTGATGGAATCATGCGCACTGTTCATGAAGTCAACAATTTCATCAACACAGAAGCGTACGAAGATATAGGTGAGCAAATTGATCCTCTTTCGTATTTATTAATCCCAATAATTTTGTTACCAACTTCTATTAAAATTCCTCATTTTTCTTTCCTTTATAGTGCGATTATTTCCCACTCTGCATCGTTACACTGTTGATAAGCAAGGCCCATTAGTGGACGGTTCATTAACAGTAACAAGTAAGTATCATTTGATATTTTTCTTATTGTATGTTCCATTCTAGCTGATTTAATCATTCTAATTTTATTTTTATATTATAGGGCATCAAGTACACCGTTTTGGATGCCTTTCATGCAATGTTCAGCGTCTGGCGAACCATTTATGCCCTGAGTGCTTAGCTTGGTATTCATGTGAGAGTTGCCTAGCAAGAGATAATGCAACCGCAAGAAATCTCAATGCCCTCATCATGTGTTCTGAATGTCGCAATATAATAGAGCAATTTTCCAGGATACATGAAGAAATAACCCTGTAAATAATAAAAACTTTATCCAAATAATAAATTATTTTTATGAGTTCACGCCCATGTAAAAAAGTTTTGATCTTTGTATGTCGCACATAAAGAACATGTCCTTTTATGTAATACTTGACAGCCATATATTCCATTCGGAAGCTTATTGCCAATGGAATTGGTAGAGGAAAAAGAAAGAAAAAAACGCCAATATGGAAAATAACAAACACAATAGCATCTGAATCCTGCTTGTTTTGTTAAGCATTAAAATTTTTCATTCCTTTCTGCCTTTTAAAATATGCACTGGAATTTGTTTTCCATCTGTGGGTGCTGAAAATTATAAATTTTCCACAATAAAAAAAAAAGAAAAAAAAAACAAATTTCACAAGTTATATCACGGTTGATGTTAAAACACATATGCTTCGAACAATTTGCAAAATTCGAATTATTCAACCATCTGATTTCTTTCATTGGATTATTTTTTAATTAATAATTCATAAACGTACCGCACTATTGGCGCCACAAGACGGCAGATCATCTATAGTACAACCGGTGAAAGAGATGCATAATAAGGTGGTCATGAAACTTGTCGATAAAAGAAATCGCCCAAGCGGATAACTTATCGGCCAAGCGTTCAAACTGGGGATTTGATGAACTGGTCCTTGTCGTATCTGGGAAAGCGACGATATAACAAAATGCTACTCCAAACTTTACACACTCCGAAAACTACTCATTCTAATCATGTATATACCAAATTAATTCCTCAACGGTCATTATGAACTTCTTATTTGTACCTTTTCCGAGATACGAGCGTCCTTGGCATTTATTACTCCAAAATTGCATCTACCGCAATATTTCCATCACTTGCATTTGTCTATGGCGGGAATTTTTCGAACAAGGAATACAAGTATACCAATTTAAATCGATTCCAGTTATTAGAATGTCGAAATTTTCATTACCCTTAAAAGTAAATATTCTGGTATTTTCATCTTAATAATTTTAGGGCATTCTCATGAACATTCAATCTGGCATCGACGTGTTCTAATTTGTACCTTTTCCGAGATACGAGCATCCTTGCCATTTATTAATCCTAAATTGCATCTACCGCAATATTTCCATCACTTGTATTTGTCTATGGCGGGAATTTTTCGAACATGGAATACAAGTATACTAATTTAAATCAATTCCAGTTATTAGAATGTCGGAATTTCCATTATCCTTAAAAGTAAATATTCTGGTATTTTCATCTTAATAATTTTAGGGCATTCTCATGAACATTCAATCTGGCATCGACGTGTTCTAATTTGTACCTTTTCCGAGATACGAGCGTCCTTGGCATTTATTAATCCAAAATTGCATCTACCACAATATTTCCATCACTTGCATTTGTCTATGGCGGAAATTTTTCGAACAAGAAATAAAAGTATACCAATTTAAATCGATTCCAATTATTCGCATGTCCGACTTCTTATTATCCTTAACAATATGTTTTCTGTTATTTTTATCTTTATAATTTCAGTCCATTTCTATTAACATTCACTCTGGCATCTACGTGTTCCATTATTATCAGTAACAAGAAGTTTCACATTCTGCCAATTTTATATTCATATTTCCATGGCTCTAGGGAATTCCACGTTCAAGTATTTGGTGGCAACTAGTGATTTCATTTTAGGACCACTGACATCAAGCCGGGCGAACTGCCTGTGCGGGTAACTCGGCAGTATCGTCGCGACCATATCAGAATGGTCTTCGATTTTGGTTAGAATTCTCCCCACTCCCATGGTAGGAGCTACGACCTCGGAATAGTGGGGGTAAAACCGAAGGCCACTCTCATACGGTCGCGACGATAGCAGTCCCGCTGTCACAGGAGTAGTTTCGGAAGGCAATTTATGCCCTCCTTGTCCTCAACATGTTCTTAATGTTTTTCAGGTGATTCATTTGCTGGCTAATTAATATTAAGGAATGAAACACAGACGGTGTGATGGAGAATTAAATTCCCCATCAATCGATCCCCGTTGCATCCCTTAATCTCTGTAACAAAAAAATACAAACTGCGGCAAAGTCATGGGCCAGTGAGAAAAATAATTTTCTTCTCGGCGCACAGTGACTTTTCACCATAAGCCCGCGAATTAAAAATTCACTTCTCCCCGCCTAATTGAGATTAAGGGATGAAAAAAGAGTAGTTCGATGGAGAATTAAATTCCCCATCAATCGATCCCCGTTGCATCCCTTAATCTCTGTAACAAAAACATATAAACTACGACAAAGGTCATGGGCCAGTGAGAAAAATTGTAGTTTCCCGGCGCAGTGACTCGCGGTAATTAAAAATTCACCTCTCCCCTCCTAATTGCGATTAAAGGATGAAAAAAGAGCAGTTCGACGGAGAATTAAATTCCCCACCAACTAACCCTCTTTCATCCCTTAATCTCTGTAAAAAATGGAAGAAACTGTCATGTAAATAACAGCGCAGTAGGAAAAATAATTGTTTTGCGGCGCAAAGTTACTCCCGGTACTTAAAAATTCACCTCCCTTCTCATAATTGAGATTAAAAGATGAAAAAAGAGCAGTTCTACGGAGAATTAAATTCTCCATTAATTAACCCTCTTTCATCCCNTCCCCTAATTAGGATGAAAGAATAAAAGCAATATTTATCGATGGAGAATTATATTCTCAATAAATTACAGCGGTNCAAAAAATACAAACTGCCATGAAAGTCAGGGGCCAGTAAGAAAAATAATTGTTTTGCGGCGCAAAGTTACTCCCGGTACTTAAAAATTCACCTCCCTTCTCATAATTGAGATTAAAAGATGAAAAAAGAGCAGTTCTACGGAGAATTAAATTCTCCATTAATTAACCCTCTTTCATCCCTTAAACTCTGTAACCAAAAAATACAAACTGCCATGAAAGTCAGGGGCCAGTAAGAAAAATAATTTTTTCGCGGCGCACACTGACTTTTCACCATTCGCCCGCGAATTAAAAATTCACTTCTCCCCTCATAATTGAGATTAACGGATGAAAAAATTGCAGTTCGACGGAGAAGTAAATTCCCCATCAACTAACCCTCTTTCATCCCTTAATTTTTGTAACAAAAAAATAAAAATTGCCATGAAAGTTAGGGGCCAGTAAGAAAAATAATTGTTTTGCGGCGCACAGTGACTCCCGGTAATTAAAAATTCACCTCTCCCTTCCGAATTGAGATTAAGGGATGAAAAAAGGGCAGTTCGACGGAGAATTAAATTCTCCATTATTAACCCTCTTTCATCCCTTAATCTCTGTAACAAAAAAATAGAAACTACGACAAAAGTCATGGCCCAGTGAGAAACATGATTTTCTTCTCGGCGCACAGTGACTTTTCACCATTCGCCCGCGAATTAAAAATTCACTTCTCCCCTCCTAATTGAGATTAAGGGATGAAAAAA